ATATCCGGATTACAAGCCTGAAATAACCCGGACAACAGAAATGACAACAAAATAAACCACCAAAACTCCACTCCGACTGACCAAGAAATGGAGTGTCTTCCCAATTACCAAGCACGGTATCTTAGCCACTGAATTCTACATCAACAATACTAGGAACTCCACAAGTCTTCATCACATTGTTCTTAACAAGTTGCTTTTGGGTTCCTTTTGCCGGCTCGTTCTTAAGATCAACCTCTGATAGCGCTGAAAGCTTAGTAGCACGTGGGCCTCCGAGGCTCCCAGAAGAATTCTCACATTCCTTTTCAAAATAAATCATACCCACCATATGCGTCTCATTATGCACAGGTGGTGGACTTTGGCTAGTGTCTACTGCATCCGGATTTTGCACGACAATGTCCCCTGCATCAATAAGCTTCTGAATCGCATTCTTCGGGTTCCAACACTTCTCTATGTCATGCCCCGGGGCATCTGAGCAATATGCACACCTTTGAGAAAAATCAAACTTCTTTGGAAGATGGTTTGGCATTTTTATCTGGATCGACTTCAACATGTCCAATTTCCTTAGCCTCTGGAACAGACTGGCATATGACTCTCCCAATGGAGTGTAGGTTTTCTTCTTCTGTAACCTCTCGTTCTTAAATGCTTGATTGGGCCGGAAACCTGATCCAGGGGGTTTTCAGTAGGCTCGTGGGGGTAGATAGGCAGTTTGTGGAGCTGGGTACTGGGAAAGTGATGTACGACTTTGGGAGTTCTGTGGAGAGAAGTGGCATTGGGGAGGATCATCTGGTGCACAAGGATATCCACGAGGACGATGTCGAGGATGGAAGTGTTGATCGGGACTGCCCGGCGGATCATCTTTTCTATTTCTCTTTCTTCCACCCAAACTTACTAGGATGTTCCGAATGTCTTCCGTAGTATCTTTCAATGCCGAATAACTCATGATTTTGCCTGACTTGATTCCCTCTTCTACCATCTCCCCCATTTTTAACACATCATTGAAAGGCTTTCCCAAGGCCGGGATCAAATGACTGAAGTAGGTGGGCCCCTGGGCTTGTAGGAAAAGCTCAACCATTTTTTCTTCACCAATCGGGGTACTGACTCGACCCGCTTGCTTCCTCCATCTGAGCCCAAACTCTCTAAAGCTGTCCTCCGACTTCTTTCCATTTTAGATAGGGAGGAGCGGTCTGGGGTAACGCCCGATTTGTATTGAAAAAGTCGCACAAAATCTTGAGCCAGGTCGCCCAATCTATGCCACTTACCAACATCTTGACGAGTATGCCAGTCCAAACCTAACCTAGTCAGGCTCTCACTGAATTATGCCATCATCAAGTCATCTTTCTCTCCAACAATTCTCATTTCACTATAATAGACCCTCAGGTGGGCTACCAGATCTCCACACCCATCATACAAGTTAAATTTTGGCACTTTAAATCCCGCGGGCAGGCGAACGTCAGGGGACACAAACAGTTCTTTGTAAGCCATGCTACCCTGGTCTCCCCTTCCTTGCTTATTCTTCAAGGATTGTTCTATGCCTTTCAGCCTCATGGGTATCCCATCTTTCCCTTCTCTTCCTGTGAACCTTTCATTTTCAACATGATGCTCATCCCGCGGGCCCTGTTTGTATGAGTAGGGAGCCTTGTGGGCAACCTCTGAGGGGTAATATTGGGCATCATGAGCTTGGAGATAAGCGGGTGGATCTGGAGAGTATGGAGGATCATCTGGCATTGTGTCCGGAGCTTGGGTAAGGGTGGCATCTAGGAAGATAGGTGGTGCCGGGGGTGGTGCCTTCCTGGTCATCCAAGCCTGATACATGTTCGCCATGTGTTGTCTCAACATCTTTACCTCTTCAACCAACCCATTGTCCTGTTCAACCAACAGCTTTCGGGCCCCAGTATCAACCAACTCAGTTCTGTTGTTGCCTGCCATTGCCTTTGGACTTTATGTTGTGGAGAGGAGTTACTACTTCGGGAACCACAAACCAACCACCCTTCTGGTATGAATATAACAAAATGAAGTCATCACGTTAGCGTTAGGGCATTTAACATAAGATAATCTCACTTCATGTGCAATGCACCTAGCCACAGTTATCGGTTCTAAAATGACTTCGAGGGTACAAAGGTCAGTTGGCATCATCCCAATTGTGCATTTCAACTTTCTCGTTTCTTTTCTTTCCTCGCACTTCTTAGCTCGCTCATTTTCTTTCCCCTTTTTTCTTTCTGATTATTGCTCTTTTTCTTCATTCTCATTTCTCAGACCCCACAACTCTACCTCTTTTTTTTCCTTTTCTTTTTCCTTTCTTTTTTCCATTTTTCCTTTTTCTTTTTTTTTCTTTTAATAATAAAAAAATAATTCGATCGAACCCTATGTAGGTTGCCTACGTATCAAGACGCCGCATGAATCAGATCTTTGCGTAGTTCTGGAAGATCGGAAATAAAGTAAACAAACCAACGTTCTCTTTTCATCTTTTCTTTTCCCTTTCTTATTCACCTTAATGACTACTCTGATGAGAAAAAGAAATAAAAGAAGAAAATCTTTTTTTTTGGATTTTCCAGACTTAATGTTCTATAACCTATTCCAAACTCAAGCTTAACGATCATATATTTTTCAAGACAAATATTCTATGAGAAATTATTAAAGAAAACCCTAGAAGAGAAAAATATTTTTTGATTCTTTTTTTTAAGAAAGAAATCCAAAGAATAAACCACAGAAACATATTTTGAATATTCATATAACAACCTGACACGAGATTTCGAAACAAGCAGTGAAAAAGATAAAACAAAATATTTTTGGATTTCAATTTTGATTGCCTAAAGAAGAAATTCTAATGATAAACAAAAGACAAAGTATATTTTTTTTCTTTGTACAATATCCTAAAGTTCCAATGAAAATAAAAAGAATTTTTTTTTTCATTTTTAGCTAATCTCCGAAAGAAACACCTCAAAAGAAAATCTTTTTGGATTTTGGAATTAATACCTTAAAGAAAGCTTTTAAAGAAGTACTACAAGAAAATTCTTTTTTTTTTTTAATTTTGGTCCTAATATAGTAGAGGAGATATAAAAATAATTTTTATTTTGGTATTAATTGCCTAAAGGACGAACAATCTCAAAGGATTTTTTTTTCTTTTGTAGAATTAGTATTCTAAAGGAAACTTATAAAAATGCATTCGAACTAACTGATTCGAATATAAAAATGCATCTATTTGATAAAAACTCTCTCTCTAATTGATTCTCTCGGCGCAAGTTAACGTGGTTAGCTAACCTGCGCCTGGAAGCCATGGGAGGGAGGGGAAGACCTAAGCGGAACCAGCAGAAGAATGTAACGGATGAGCAGCGTTCCTCAGCAACTAGGAATGCTGTGTTAGAGCTATTTGTATCTCCAAAAGGGCTACGAATCGAAGAACCAGAAGGAAGATCTAATTCGAAGAACATGCAAGCTGGAGAAAACAGAGATGAAGGAGATCTAGCTAGGAATAAAGGGAAAATGAAGGAAGGAATGAGTACCCCAGCTCCAATGGTAGCTAATGCTAAAGGAGACGAGACGGGGAGGAAAGAACAAGGGAGTAAGCTGAACATAAATGGGACAGTACCATGCATTCAAGGTACTGTAGAGAAAACTAAAGATGATGGAAAGCAGATTGAGTCTAGGACCAAAACATGGGCAAATGTGGTGGTTGGGAACAAATTGGCTATGAAGGGCATGAATCTACAATATATTGCACCAATTGTGCAAAATGGGGAGAAAATGGTGAAGCTCGAAGCTGAAGATGTGGAACAGGAGACTGAAAAATGGAAAAATGCCATTGTCATATATGTAATAGGTGAATCAACCTCAATTGGAGCTATGGACAGATTTGTGAATTCAATGGGTAAGTACTCAACGAAACCTGAGATCTACTACCACAATGAAGACTATTTCATTATACGATTCAGTAGTATTGAGGAAAGGGACCAAGTCTTGTACTCAGGACCACATACGATCAATAATCGACCAATAATTATGAAGGCATGGCCGAAGGAGTTCAACCTACATGATGAGGTGCTAAAGACAATCCCATTGTGGGTTAAGATGCCTAATTTACCTGTTAATTGGTGGAGTATGACTGCATTAAGCAAAATAGGAAGTGCCCTGGGTAACCCTATTTATGCTGATGAGTGTACGACTGGAGCAGTAAGGATTTCATATGCTAGATTACTAGTAGAAATGGATATCACTAAGCCCCTTCCATGACAGGTGAAACTTCAGGATCCTAAAGGGAAAGAGATGATGCAGGAGGTGGAGTATGACTGGGAACCTAAATACTGCAGTAAGTGTTTGAAAATAGGTCATGACTGTGCTGAAAACAGGAATACAATGCAACAACAAAGAAATATACAGCAGAAGAAGGCTAATAAGGGTAGAATGATATGGGTTAGAGCAGATGAAGAAGAAGGAAATGAAAATAAGGAAAAAGACCAGACAAAAGAATGCTCAGGACAACAAAGGACTGAGACAGATCAAGGGAGAGATGGAATGCAAAACAAGGAAGCAGGATGGATCACAGTAGCAGGCATCAGCAGCAAAAGCAACCACAGCTAAGCAACAAGAAGTTCACAGTATTGATGAACTTAATGCTTTCCGAGCTTGATGTATAATCAAAGGAGTGAAGTAGCAGGTACTAGCCAGATCAGTAGCCAAGGGGAGCAGGGGTACCATCATTATCCTTATTTCATTCCAGTATGAGTGTTGTAACTTGGAATGTTAGAGGAATGAATAAAACGTATAAGCGGAAAGAAGTAAAGGAGTTTGTTAGAATAAATAATAAAGTTGTAATAGCTATAGTAGAGCATAGAGTTAAAGACTTGAAAGCCAATAAAATAATCAAAAAGATAGCTCCAGGATGGCAATGGGTCTCTAATGCTAGAACAGGACAAAAAGGAAGAATATGGGTAGTATGGGATCCTAGAATATACATCTTTGATCCTAGGGAAATTGATGAACAACTTATCCGTGGGTAGATTAGCATGAAGTCAAAGCCAGTTAAGTTTGGGTTCACAACAGTATATGGGCTACATACCATCAAAGATAGTAAACCTTTGTGGGATAAGCTGAGGCGGATTAATAGCAATCAACAAGGTCCCTGGCTGGCAATGGGTGATTTTAATGCAGTACTTCATGTAACAGATAGACAGCATGGATCAGAAGTGCAGGACATGGAAGTGAAAGACTTCAAGGAGTACATGATGGATACAGGCATGAATGAACTACAATCTGTGGGAAGGGGTTATACATGGACAAATAACCATACATATAGTAGGATAGACAGGGGGCTGGTGAACACTGAGTGGATGATGACTATGCCTAGCTTGAAAATTCAGGTATTAGAGCCACTAATATCTGACCATTCTCCTCTGAAGCTGATGATCACACAGGGGCATACAAAGAAAAGCAGACCATTCAGATTCTTTAATTGTATTGCTGATCACCCTCTCTTTATCCAACAAGTTGAAAAGGCTTGGAATGAGGGAAAGGAAGCTGGTAAAATACAAACAGTCTGGCATAAACTAAAGAGAACTAAGGAGCTTGTCAAGGATCTAAATACAAAGCATTACAAAGGACTGGAAGGAAAAATTAAAGAGGCAAGGAAAGAGTTGCAAACAATACAGGAAGACATGAGCAATAGAATGCAAGACACTGAGCTAATTGAGAAAGAGAAGATAATGAAGCAGGAATTAGAAAAGTGGGTGAAGATTGAGGAAAGTGTCTACAAACAGAAAACAAGGGTGCAATGGCTGAAACTGGGAGACTCCAATTCATGATACTTCTTTTCACAGATGAAGCATAGGAACAGTACAAATGGAATTCAAATGCTAACAGATGATATGGGAAGGCAATTAGTTCTAGATGATGAAATAGAGGCAGAAGTCCTTGGTTACTATAGGAAACTACTAGGGTCAAAAGATGATTCCATTCCAGCAATCAATCCTAATGTAATCAAAATGGGAACTACATTCAGTAGAGAACAACAAATGCACCTGATCAGACGAGTCACTAAGGAAGAAATAGGAGAGGCATTGAAAGAGATTAATGATCTGAAGGCTCCAGGATATGATGGATTCAATGCAGTATTTTTCAAAAAGACATGGGGTAGTATAGGTGAAGAGGTGACACTGGCTGTGGAGGAATTCTTTGAGACTGCACAAATGAATAAACCAGTTAACTGCATAGCTATAACTTTGATACCTAAAGTCAAAAACCCAACAAGTATAAAAGAATTCAGGCCCATCTCCTGTTGCACAGTGATTTACAAGGTGATTTCCAAGATTCTAACTAAAAGACTACAGTGTGTTATGGATGATTTGGTTGACAACTCACAGGCAGCATTTGTACCAGGAAGAGCTATTACTGATAACATCATATTGAGCCATGAGTTGGTTAAAGGGTATGGGAGGAAAGGAGTATCATCTAGGTGCATGATGAAACTTGACATGCAGAAAGCATATGATTCAATAGAGTGGGACTTTATGGAACAAATAATGCATGCATTAGCTTTCCCAGCACAGTTTGTTAGGTGGATAATGAGGTGTATAGGGACAGTCACATACACAATTCTGATTAATGGAGTTCAAACTAGACCTTTTGAAGCAAAAAGAGGATTAAGACAAGGGGACCCTTTATCCCGTTACTTATTTGTAATTGCAATGGAATACTTGACAAGAAGGCTGAAAATGCTTAACAAGGATCCAGATTTTAACAACCACCCCAAGTGTGCAAAGATGCAAATCTTGCAACTTGGGTTTGCTGATGACCTTTTACTGTTTTGCAGGGGAGACTTGAAGTCAGTCCAGCTTATATTCAATGGCTTTCAAGAGTTCTCAAAAGCTTCTGGGTTGAAGATCAACAAGAACAAAAGCTCTTTATTCTGTGGAGGAATTACACAAGAGAATCAAGATGAGATGCTAAACTTCCTGGGAATACAGAAGGGGGAACTACCTGTGAGATACCTAGGAGTTCCACTAAGCACAAAGAGAATTTCCATTGCACAATGCCAACCCTTGATTGAGAAGATTGTAGGAAGAATAACATCATGGACTACCAGATTCCTGTCCTATGCTGGAAGAATACAGCTTATAAAAAGTGTCCTATTTGCTGTACAGACATACTGGGCACAAATCTTTGTGATGCCCAAAAAGATTACAAAGCTAATAGAGTCTATTTGCACAAGCTTCCTATGGACAGGTGAGAGTAATGTATCAAAAAAAGCACTTTTAGCATGGGAGAAGACTTGCATGCCCAAGACAGCAGGAGGGTTCAACATCATGCATATAGCATTATGGAATAAGGCAGCAATATGCAAGCATTACTGGGACTTATGCAAAGAGAAGAATAAGTTGTGGATTCAGTGGATCCATAGCTACTATATCAAAGGTAGAGAAGTATGGGGTATGCAGGTGAAACAAGCATCATGGATAGTGGGGAAGATACTTAAAGCAAAGGAAACACTTGATAAGGCAGGTTTCAACTATGAAGATGTAAAGAGAACCAAGAAATGCAGTATCAAAGCAATATACCACAGGCTGCGAGGAACTTTTGAAAAGGTGAGCTGGAAAAAGTTGTGTGCCAGAATGCAGGTTGACCACGATGGTCCTTTATGTTAACTCTGCGTCACGACCCGGATTTCCCACCCTCGGGAGTCGTGATAGCGCCTACTGATGAGAGCTAGGCAAGCCAATTTTAATTACCTTTCCATTAATAACATAATTCCTTATAACCATTATCGGCAATAATACAAAAGTAACGAATATAAATAATAAGCGGAAGTCTCAATATTATAGAAAACTGAATTAAAAAAAATGCAGAAAATCCCAACAAAAGCCTCCACCCAAGGCTGGTGTCACGGCTTCACAGACGGTCTAAGAATACTACACATAAAGGTCTGAAAGAAATAAACTCGACACTGTCTCCAGAAATACATGAAGGAAACAAGAATATAGATGAAAGGAGACGCCAGAGCCTGCGAACGCCTGCAAGGCTACCTCGGGTCTCGCTGGACTGAAAGCCTGCTCCCACAGTACTCCTGCTGCTGTCCGAAGCCTGGATCTGTGAAAAATAGCACAGAGTGTAGTATCAGCACAACCGACCCCATGTGCTGGTAAGTGTCTAGCCTAACCCCGGCGAAGTAGTGACGAGGCTAGGACCAGACCACCAAATAAACCTGTGCAGATATATATACAAGAAAAACGGAAAAGTAGCAAGAAAATAACAATTTAAGCTGGGGAAGGGAGCATGCTTCAGGGGTAACCGATAGAAACAAAATATCAAGAATAATGGTACGTACATCTACAGTTTAACTTCTAACAATAAACGAAGAGATAAGGCAACTTTCATATTCAACTCATCTTGTTGCAGGCGTGCAACCCGATCCCATTTCTCAATATCTCGTGGTAGGCGTACCACCCGCTCCCATTTCAATATCACTCGTGGTAGGCGTACCACCCGCTCCCATTTCAATATCATTTGTGGTAGGCGTACCACTCGCTCCGATTGCAATATCATTTGTGGTAGGCGTACCAATCGCTCCCATTTTAATATCATTTGTGGTAGGCGTACCACTCACTCCCATTTCATTATTATTTGTGGTAGGCGTACCACTCGCTCCCATTTCAATATCATTTATGGTAGGTGTACCACTCGCTGCCATTTCAATATCATTTGTGGTAGGCGTACCACTCGCTCCCATTTCAATATCATTTGTGGTAGGCGTACCACTCGCTTCCATTTCATTAAATCAACAGTTCCTCCAAAAAAAATTTACTCTAACAAACGCAAAAATTAATACGAGTTCATAAGATAACAAGTACGCAAAATTTATGATTCACTAAGGAAAATAAATAATGACAAATAGCAATTAATTATGGATTATAAGGGGGCAAGTAGGCAGTTTAGTAATTAATACGTTGAATGTCGCGTAGAAATTAAGTCACTTAAACATGTAGCAATTAAGGCATAAATTCAAGACATAACGTTGCGCAAGGACACCTTGGTTCAATAATAACAAATAACACAAAAAGGGGGAATGTCAACATAAAGGACCACAGAAATAGTGGAATAAGACATTTAATGCACTTGAACTAATAACAACAAGAAATTACTAAACTGCCTTTAACACTCTTCCTCACCCAATCAACAATCACAAACAAGGGCAAGGGAATAAATAAACAATAATGGAAATCCCGGCAAGGGAACGCAAACAAACAATTAAAACCCGGCAAGGGTAAAACATCAATAATCTCAACGTCCCGGCAAGGGAAAATATTCAATAACTCTTTCTCTTTCTTTCACTTTCATCTCATAGTTCACATCATCACTCGAGCCAATGCTCCAAAGATTTACTTATCTCATATACCTTCACAATTTGTATTTCAATTCGAGCCAACGCTCCACAAAGTTTAAAGATCACAATTCCTTTCACAAGCTCTTTACAACATTTAGAAGTCATCAATTAAACATGGAAGGTATAACAAAATCCAAACTATTCGCAAAATAAGGACTCACGGTCATGCTAGACACCAATGTATAGATACTCGTCACCATGCCTATACATCGTACTCGACAATCAACAAGTAGCAAATAAGACTCAACTCCTATTCCCTCAAGCTAGGGTTAGACCAAACACTTACCTCGATGCCTTGAATTCCACTCAAACCTCAACTATCGCTTTACCCCGTGATTCCACCTCCAATCCGCTCGAATCTAGCCACAAATTACTTAATTACTTTAATAAACACTAAATGAATCAATTTGAATGCATAAAAATGAATTTCCCAAAGTTTTTCCCAAAATTTCCAAAATAGCCCCCGGGCACACGTGGTCAAAACCCGAAGTTCGAACCAAAATCCGGTTACCCATTCCCCCACGAACTCAAATATGTAATTTATTTTGAAATCGGACCTCAAATTGAGGTCCAAATCCCCAAATTTTTTAAAAAACCTAGGTTCTACCCAAAACCCCCAATTTCACCCATGAAAATCATTGATTTTCGGTGGAAAACATGTCAAATGATGTTAATGATTGAAGGAATTAAGTAAAAATCGACATACAATTGATTTGGAATGAAACTTGTTCTTGAAAAATCGCCCAAAGGAGTTGTGTTTTGAAAATGGGGTGAAAAATGACTCAAAAACGACTAAATATAAAAATTGCTGGGCTGCAGATTCGGGAATTGCGAACTGGGGTTCGCAATTGCGAACCCCGACCATTTGTGGAAAATGCAAAGCTGGGTTCGCATTTGCGAACCCTTACTGGATTGCCAGTTTTCGCATTTGCGAAAACAAGATCGCATTTGCGATCAGCCTCCCTTCGCATTTGCGAGCAAATGGATCGCATTTGCGATCCTATGCCCACACCCAAGGCGTCGCATTTGCGACTCAAAGCTCGCATTTGCGAGCTAGCAATTGCGAGACTCATCTTCGCAAATGCGAAGATCACAGAAGCAAAATACCAGATTATTCACAAGTTCAAAAATGCGATGCGTGGCCTATCCAAAACTCACCCGAGCCCTCGGGACTCCAAACCAACTATATACACAACCTCAAAAACATCCTACGGACTTATCCGTGCGATCAAATCGCCAAAATAACATCATATACATCGAATCAAGCCTCAAAACTCATGATTTCTTCCAAATTTTCATAAAACATCAATTTTCCATTTTAAGTCCGAAACACGTCAAACGACGTCCGTTTTCAACCAAACTTTACAGAAAGCGCTTAAACCATATATAAGACTTGAATCGGGCGCCGGAACCAACATACGAGCC